AACCGTATACTACGCATATTCAATGCATTTAAAGTGTACAATGAATTTCGAGGTCAGTGTAACACATCACACCAGTCCAATCCAGTCCAGTCCAGTCCCGTCCAGTAAAGTCGAGTCCAGCTCTTTCCAGCCCAGTCCATTCCACTTTAGTCCAGACCAGTCCAATCCAGTTTATTCCGGCCTCGTCCAGTCCAGTCCAGTCAAGTGCTGTTCAGTCCAGTCCAGTCCAGTCCAGTCCAGTCCAGTCCAGTCCAGTCCAGTCGAGTTCAGTTCAGTCCAGGGCTGTCCAGTCCACTCCATTGCAGTACAGTCCAATCCGGTCCAATCCGGACCATTCCAGTGTAACCTAGTCCAATCCAGTCCAGTCAGGTCCAGTCAAGTCCAGTCCCGGCCAGTTCACTACGGTATAGTCCATGCAATCCGGTCCAGTACAGTAAATTCCAGTCCAGTCCAGTCCAGTTCATTGCAGTCCGGTCCACTTCAGTCCAGTCCAGTCCAGTCCACTCCAGTCCAGTCCAGTCCAGTCCAGTCCAGTGATTTTTAGTGTAACCCAGTTCAGTCAAGTTTAATCAAGTCCAGTCCAGTCCAGTCCAGTACATTACCTTCCATTACAGTCCATTACAGTCCAGTACATTCCAGTCCACTCCACTCCTGTCCAGTGTAGTCCAGTCCCGTCCTGTCCAGTCCAGTCCAGTCCATTCCTGTTAAGTCCAGTTTAGAACAGTCCAGTCCATTTTCGTCGAGTCCAGTCGAGTCGAGTCCAGTCCACTCCAGTCCAGTCCAGTCCAGTCCAGTCCAGCCCAGTCCAGTAAATTGCAGTCCAGTGCAGTCCAGTTCAGTCCAGTCCAGTCCAGTCCAGTCCAGTCAAGTCCACTGCAGTCCAGTCCAGTCCGGTGCAGTCCAGTCCAGTCCAGTCCAGTCCAGTCCAGTCCAGTCTGGTCCCGGCGACCCCAGTCCAGTCTAGTCCAATATAATCCAGTCCGGTACAGTCCAGTCCAGTCCAGTCGAGTCCATGTTTGTCCAGTCCACTCCATTCCAATTTATTCCAGTCCAGTCCAGTGCAGTTCAGCCAAGTCCAATCCAATCCAGACCAGTCCGGTCCAGTCCAGTCCAGTCCCGTCCAACCCTGTCCCGTCCAGTCCAGTCCAGTCCAGTCCAGCACAGTCCAGTCCAGCCCATTCCACTGCAGTTTAGTAAAGCCACGTCGAATCCAGTCCAGTCAAATCCAATCCAGGCCAGTCCAGTCCAGCCCAGTCCAACCCTCTCCAGTCCAGTACAGTCCAGTCCAATCCATTGCAGTCCAGTAAAGTGCTTTCCAGTGCAGTCCATTTCAGTCCAGTCCAGTGCAGTCCAGTCCAACCCTGTCCAGTCCAGTCCAGTCCAGTCCCATCCATTGCAGTCCAGTCCACTCCAATCCAGTACAGTCCAGTCCAGTCCAGTCACGTTCAGTCCAGTCCAGTCCACTCGAGTCCAGTCCAGACCACACCAGTCCAGTCCAGTCCAGTCGAGTTCAGTCCAGTCCAGGGCTATCCAGTCAACTCCATTGCGGTACAGTCCAATCCAGTCCAATCCGGACCATTCCAGGGTAACCTAGTCCAATCCAGTCCAGTTAAGTCCATTCAAGTCCAGTCCCGGCGAGTTCAGTCCGGTATAGTCCAGTCCAATCCGGTCCAGTACAGTACATTCAAGTCCAGTCCAGTCCAGTCCATTGCAGTACACTGTACTCCAGTCCAGTCCAGTCCACTCCAGTCCAGTCCAGTCCAGTAAAGTGCTTTCCAGTGCAGTCCATTTCAGTCCAGTCCAGTGCAGTCCACTACAGTCAAGTCCACTCCAGTCCAGTCCAGTCCAGTCCAGTCCAGTCCAGTCGATTCCGGTCCAGTCCAGTCCAATCCAGTCCAATCCAATCCATTCCAGTTTAACCTAGTCCAATCCAGTCCCGGCCAGTTCAGTCCATTCCAGTCCAATCCGGTCCAGTACAGTCCAGTCCCGTCCAGTCGAGTCCAGGTTTGTCCAAACCAGCCGATTCGATTTTATTCCAGTCCAGTCCCGTACAGACCAGCCAAGTCGAATCCAGTCCATTCCAGTCTAATAAAGTCCAGTTCAGCCCAGTCCAGTCCAGTCCAGTCCAGTCCATTTCAGTCCAATGGAGTGCAGTCCGGTCCAGTTCAGTTTAGTGCCATGAAGTCCAGTTCAGTCCAGTCCAATCCAGTCAAGTCCAGTCCATTCCAGTGAAACCTAGTCCAGTCCAGTCCAGTCCAGTGCAGTCCAATACATTGCAGTCCAGTCCACTCCAGTCCAGTCCAGACCATTCCAGTTCAGTCCAGTCCAGTGCAGTTTAGTACAGCCGAGTCCACTCCAATCCAGTCCAGTCCATGCCAGGAAAGACCAGTCCAGTCCAGTCCAACCCTGTCCATTCCAGTCAAGTCCAGTCCAACACAGTCCAGTCCAGACCAGTCCAGTCCATTCCATTCCAGTCCATTCCTTTCCAGTCCAGTCCAGTCCAGTCCACTCCATTGCAGTCCAGTCCACGCCAAACAATTCGAGTCCGGTACAGTCCAGTCAAGTCCAGTGCAGTTTTGTATAGTCAGGTTCACTCCAGTCCA